CGAGTCCATGTTTTCCAAGTACTGATTCTTCTTCTCTGTTTCCAACTTTTGCATTCCAGTCACCCATTATTATCAATGCATCTTGATTGCATGTTCGATCGATCTCCAACTGTAAAAGTTGGTAGAAATCTTCTATTTCCTCTTCTTTGGTTCTGGTTGTTGGTGCATCTATCTGAATGATAGTGGTATTCACTGGACTTCCTTGTATGCATATGGATATTATCCTGTCATGTCACTCACAATATTGTACTTCAAGACAGATCTATAAATGGCTTTTCTAACTATGAAAGCAACCCCATTTTTCCTCACCTTTTCATCTCCAGAGTAGTATATCATATGATCATCTGATTCAAAATGCCCATGCTGGTCCATCTCATCTCACTAATGCCTAGTATGTTAATATTTATGCATTCCATTTCCTCCTTAACAAATAAAGAACAGTGCAGATGTTCATTACAAAGACAGAAGAGGAAGAAAAGACCAAAATGGATGTCTGAAGATTGCACTGGAGCACAGAGAAGACAAAGCACAAGGAAGAATTCAACATACTAAAGAGCTGAACAAAAGATTTCAAAAGGCGGCGCGGGATGACAAAGTAAAATATTACAATGAAATGTGCAAGGAGCTGGAGTCAGAAAACCAAAAGGGTCGAAGTTGCTCAGCATTTCTTAAGCTCAGGGAACTGAAGAACATATTCAAACCTCGAGTTGCTACAATCAAGGATGCTTTAGGCAGAATGTTAAGTGATCCAGGAGGTATCAAAAGAAGATGGAAGGAATATGCCGAGTCATTGTATTAAAAGGAATTGTCAGATGCAGAAGAATTTAATGAAATAGCATTTGAGCAAGAGCCTATGGTGGTGAAGGCAGAAGTTCAAGCTGCTTTGAAGGAAATAGCAAAAAATAAAGTCCCAGAAATAGATGGTAGACCAATTGACATATTTCAGCTAACAGATGCTGCCCTGGATGTGCTCATCTAGTTGAGTCAAGATATCTGGAGAACAACCACTTGGCCAACTGACTAGAAGAGATCTATATTTGTTCCCATTCCAAAGAAGGGTAACCCAACAGAGTGTGGACACTATAGGACAATATCGTTGATTTCACATGCAAGCAAGATTCTGCTGAAGATTATCCAAAAACGACTGGAACAGCACATCAGCAGAGAACTTCCAGAAGTCCAGGCTGGGTTTAGAAGGGGTCGTGGTACTAGGGATATTGTAGCTAATGTTAGATGGATCTTGGCTGAAAGCAGGGAGTACCAGAGGAATGACTATCTTTGCTTCATTGATTATGCAAAGGTGTTTGACTGTGTGGACCATAACAAACTGTGGCAGACTCTGAGAAGAATGGGTATCCCAGAACACTTGATCATGCTAATGCGAAACTTGTACTTGAACCAAGAGGCAGTCATCAGAACAGAGCAAGGAAAGACTGCATGGTTCAAAATTGGGAAGGGCGTCCACCAGGGATGTGTCCTCTCTCCATACCTTTTTAATCTGTATGCAGAACAGATCATCCAGGAAGCTGGGCTTTATGAGGAGAAATGC